GAATAAATTCTTTTATGCTATTTTTATGTCAGATAATAACTCAGTCCTGATAAAAGTGTCTAAGTAGTTGAGAAACTATAAAGATATTTTCTCAGAAGAAAAAGTAGCAAAGTTACTAGAATTAATGAAAATTAGTTATTTAATTATTCTTAAAGACAGCTGTAAGCCTTTATATATACTAATCTACAGACTATTACTCAAGTAGACAGAGATTCTACAAGAGTATATTAAGAACAAGTTATGCAAGAGTTAGATATATCTGTTATAAAGTCTGGCAAAGGCTTCAGTATTCTTTGTACTCAAGACTAATAAAGAACTCAAACTCTGTATTAATTATTGTGACCTTAATACAGTCACAGTGAAGAACTGTTTCTTTTTGCTATTGATAGACAAGATATTAAGCTGGTTGGTGAAAGCACACTACTTTTCCAAGATAGATCTATATAACATCTACTACTGAATTAGAATCAAGAAGATGAATGAAAAACTATATTTTATATGAAGTTTAAGAGTTTTGAGTATCTTGTTATGTCTTTCAGATTATCAAATATACCAGCAATCTTCCAGTTCTATATTAATAAAATGCTGGCAGGCCTGATTAATGTATGCTACATAGTTTATCTAGATAATATTCTTATTTTCTCTGTCTCAGAGAGAGAGCACAAGAAATATATTAGACTAGTTATAAAGTATCTAAAAGAATATCAGTTGTTTACAAAGCTTGCTAAGTATGCTTTTAAATAATAAATAATCTCATATCTTGAATATATCATTGATAATAAAGATATTAAAATAGATTTAAAATGAGTATAGATGATTATAAAGTGATCTTTATCATAAAGTTTTTATAATATTTGAATATTTCTTGGTTTTGCAAACTTTTATTGAAGGTTTATATAGAAGTACTTAGTTATTGTAGCACTGTTGACAGATCTCTTGAAGGATAGTGAAAATAAATAAAAGAAGAAATTATTTCTTCTGATATCTGCTGTCAGAGAAGTATTTTATGAGTTAAAGATGATCTTCTTTAGAAAATCTGTTATTTATTACTATAATTCAGAATGTAAAATATATCTGAAAATAAATACTTTGAAATATACTGCAGGCATGATATTACTACAGCTGTTTAACAATAAGTAATATTCAGTTGTTTACTAGTTATTCAAGTTTAATCAAACTCAATAAGTCTATAGTATACTGAATAAGAAGATGTTAGTTATTGTTTGAGTATTTGTTTATTAGTAACAGTACTTAGAAGAAATAAAGTATTCTGTAGAGATTATTATAAATTATGCAAATCTTTGTTTATTTATGAAGTTTATAAACAAGATAGCACAATAATAATATATAAGATAAATAAAGACTCTTTAAAATATATGATCTTGAGATTCTCTACTGTTCTGAAAAGTATAATTCAGCTGATATATTATCACAAAGATCAAAGTATATTAAACTAGAAAAAGATATTAATCTGCTGATGTATATGCTTAAATAATATTATATAAATAGTGTTTCAGAGTGAGATTTATTTGAAGAAACTTTCTTTAATAAAGAAGATATTCAAGTATGTGCTGCTTGTACTGTCTAAAGTAGTGAGTTAAAAATAGCACAGAAGAAATCTAATAGTATTAAGATAGTTAAGTTAGTTTAAGAAGCATCAGTCAGAAATACTGAAGAGACTTAATAAAGAAATTACAGAAAACTCTGAATTCTCTATATATATATGAATATAATAATAAAAGATGAAAAAATTTATAACAAATCAACTGTAAGCATGTTAAATCTGCTGCTAAAGATACAGAAAGATAATCTCTTTATATAAGTAAAATTTACTAAAGCAGAATTTTAGCAGTTAGAGTGAAAAATAGATAAGATTTTTGAATAAAGTGCAGCAGAATCTATATCTCTAATAATCTAGCTCTAAGACAGAAAGTACTATAAGTTCATCATAATAATTTATTTACAGATTACTTTAATGTAGTAAAGATATCTATCTTGCTTCAGTAAAAATATAATTAGTAATTAATAAGATAAGATGTTTAGATATATATATGTGAATGCCAAATCTGCTAATAAAAGAAGACTTCAACACACAAATTATATAAACTGCTTATATTATTACTGATATTCAGTAGACTCTGATATATAATATTTATGAACTTTATAATAAATCTTTCTCTGAGTAAAGAGAAGAGAAATTCATACAATATAATTCTGATTATTTTGAACTGATTTACAAAGCTTGCATGTTTTCTTATATATAAAAAGAAGATTAATATATCAGAGATAGCAAATCTTTTATTAAGAAGAGTATTTAAAGATTTCAGATTTTCAAATAATATTATTTCAGACAGTTATTAAGTAAATAAATAGAATAAGAAATAGTCCGAACAACAGAGTGAAACTAAATAGAAAAATAATAAATAAAAAAAGTGGATTTTTAATATTTAATTAACATCTTAGCAGGTACAGAACTGTGATCTCAAGTAAAAATTTTTGTTCTAAAAATGAAAAAATGTTTTAAAAATAAAGAAAATCATTCTATATATGGTAAAAACCATATATACTATAATTGAAAATGGAGTAGGTATAAACTCTGTGCCTGAGTAGTAAGTAATTACTATAATAAATATTACAGTTTGCTGGGAATTAGTATTAAATAAGGAACATTTACAAAAAGAGAGATTATATAAAATATTATCTATAAAATCTGTAGTAAATAAAGAATTATCAGATAAATTACTTTATTATTAACAAAAAAACTAACTCTATTTTTATATTTAGAAATATGGTCACATTTAAAAGTTTTAGAATTTATTTGTTTGCAAACTTGATCTAATCCTTCTTCAGTTAAGTGTAATTTATTAGATATTTGATTATGGTTAGTTAACTATTTTTCAAAAGAAATAGATTTTTTAATATATAAGGGAAATAATTTTAAAAGTTAGATTTGTCACATACTGAAAATGTACGTAAATTTAGTTCTACTAAGATATTTATCTTGTTTGATAATATTAATTGGTTACAATCTTAAAGTTAAATTTTTAAAACAAAATTTAAATAATTTTTATATTATTTAGATTTTAAACATGTTAGTTTAAGGGTTAGAATATCATGCTACACAGGCATTTGCTGATGCTTTAAATATATATCAAAATAATTTAATTTATAATGTTCTTCTATTTATATAAATTGAAATTGTTTACTACTAAAATCAAAACAGAATAAACCTGTTTTAGGTAAATGTATTGTTCTATATATCTTTTATCAATACATAAGATTAAAAGTTTATTAGGTGTAGGTATTTTAAGTTTCAGAAAATAAAATGAAATAGAAATGGTATCTTTAAGAATTAGAGATAAAAACCATTTGAAAAATTTTAGTCTACCTATGTCAATTGAGAATGTTGATGAAATAATTAATAATATTAGTAAAAAATTTAAGGTGTAGCATTATTAAAATATAGTTATCATAATTTTAGTTTGACTATATTAGTAGTTGGCTAATTGCTGAAACCTTATTAAATAATAGCAAATCAGCAGGTAAGTTATAACACCTTTAACAACCATATTTCTTATAATCCAATAATTTTACAGGAGCATTTCGTAAATATTTAATAAGATTTTCTATCAGGAATTTATTTTTACAAGTGAATACTGATCCGAGCTATACTTTCATATAAAAGTTAGACAAAAACTTAGTACAGCATTCCACTCACAAACAGACAGCCAAACAGAGATACTGAATAAGATCTTGGAGAGATATCTCTGTGTCTATTGTAATTATAGGCAAGATAATTGGAAGAAGTAGCTTGTGTATGCAGAATTTGCATCAACTATCTTCTCAAAGAACATATGTCTGAGATGAGGAGAGCTGGGGAGGATGTGAACTGGAACTTTCAGATTTGATTACAGAATGCACATCAGACCAATGAAGGGTTATTACATGCATTCAGAGAAGCTGACAAAGATACAGAGTATGTTAGACAAGTAAATAAGCTGGTGATGATTCAGGTCAAAAAGCAGAAAAAAGTGTTGGAGAATCTGTGTCGCAAAGCCAGATACAACATGTACGAGATCATCAACAGATAGTCGAGATAAGGATATTAGGCGATGCAACTGGTGTTTCAGGGTTAGATTTGGGGTTAACTTGGTATTATTTTTGTCTACTTTATGCTCATTGTATCCCAAATAAAAGAGTTGTTCTATTAGGGAATAAAGGATCTTTACTGCTTCGGTTTCCCGATAGAGACATGGAAGACGGGCTTCCCTCGAGGCGATCATTTTAGTGGCTCCGACAGAAAGCAAGATGTCGGATCATAGATTTTCCTTCTCCGACGTTGATGGGTCCGCTGGTGGATGTGGCCGCCAGCATTTTTCTATACTGTTTGTTTTGGGGAATCTTTAAACCGAGCGCTTGTCTGCTATCATCACTCAATATCCCTTAAGCCAAAGATAGAAGAATGTTCTAGGTGCGACTTTCGTTACACACGGCTTTCCTCATTCTTGCTTCATTTGGAGCGCGGCTTCTGCCAGTCTGGAATAGACCATAAAGATATCATGGAGTTTGCACCTGAGATTGCATGGTAGAAGATTGCCTTGCAGGTAAAGCGTAATTCCAAGTAGTATTTATCAATCCGTTGTCACCATCAAATCCTCCAAGCCACGCACTTTCACTGAGTATGTACCCTGTTGGACCGTCGAGAACTACCGGCGCATGCGGTGTCCAGTGGGCGTTCATGCAAGCAAACTGGGATATTTCGTTTTCATATCAGCCCCACCCATTCAATGCAGACTGGTACACCTGGCCGAGTTCTCGCTTCTCCTCTTTTTGAAATTCGGATCTCGAATCACGTGGAGCAGGCTTGGCACTGCCCCTATCCCGGGCCGGCACACGTCGACCCAGAAAGCATATTTTAACGTCTCTACCTTCTCTTCTCTCATCAAGCTCAACGCTCCGTTTCAATCTCTTGCACTTTCTTGACAACCTCACGCCCGATCATGATGGGATTTTCGTTACTACCGCGCTGCTTTATGCCAGATTTTACCTGGCCAAATCACATCTCACCTACAGTGACCAGCAAAATACCAGAAACACCTCGCGCGACCCACCCTAAAGTACGCCAATTATGGGGCATTATCCACAAATATCTGAGATTGTTCTCTGAGTCTTATTGTCGCTGGGTTGGGGCTACTTTTGATAATCAGATTGCTCAGCTTCCATTTGGGCTGATTCTGAAGTGGTCCGATGGTACTCGGTTAGAAGAAGTCTTGACAATGGAGGTTGCCAGAAGAGCAGGTCTCCCAGTTCCGAAGGTGATCTGCTATGGAGACCATCCAGATACTCCGCATGCTCCAGTATCAATTCTGATGACTCGTATCCCTGGTGATGAACTTGGCCGAGTTTACAAAACACTAAGCGACACTGAACGAGATTCGATCCAATTGCAATTAAAGGGTTATTTGGAAGCAGTCCGGAGATGGAAAAGTCCGTGGGGGGAGAACAGAATTTGCTCTTTGGTGGGCACAGCTATTAGAAGCGTCCGTGTACCTAATCATCTTGTTGGCCCTTTTGAGTCAGAACAAGAGTTCAATGAATACCTCCGGAGCACTGCCTGGTCAGGCGGATTCCCATCAGAAACAGAATACAAGGATGCACTTGATTGTGCCAGAAAAATGGATCTGATGCCTCATCGTATTGTTTTCACACACGGCGACCTCAAGCACCATAACATCCTTGTACAAAATGGACAAATTACAGGCTTTTTGGACTGGGAGTCGGCGGGCTGGTGCCCTGAGTATTGGGACTTTACCACAGCACTCAGGTTCATTCCGAAAGATTACTGGTGGTACAACTTTGTGATAGGGCTTGGGGGCGGCCCATACATGGCAGAACTGGATTGTGAACGGGCGTTGACTTCTCTAACAGTTGATTCGTATTCCTGGTGACATAGAATTGAAAAGGGCAACAGGGTGCATATCAGTGACTTCTTTACTTGTAATATAATTTCGATAAATCAAATACTCCCACTACTCGACAAGATTCCTTCTGAGTCTTCATTTCCCCTGACGGTTTCTCGAAACATGAGACTTGCACATTCCTCTGAGGCCCTATATAAAGGATGAGTGAGATACTATTGTAATTGGAGTTTAGATAGGATACTCACGCTGTTTACAGTCCGCACAATGCAGAGGCTCCTATAGGCCTTGGCTGCTCATTCACCGCAGCGCCCATTGCGTTTGCATTCCCCCAGGTCTTAACTTCGGTCTCCAGAGCCGCTAAATTGTCGCATTTCAGAATAACCTGACCATTGACAGGCTTCTGGAGAAGGGCCAGAACCCAAAGCAACCAGACTCAGCATGAAATATCCGGATTATTTATCTGGCTGTCATACATCCTTATGGTCTGATCCACGTGTCCCTCCCAACCAGCCGGAATATCAGCAATCCTAAAAAGACCCACGAGAAGGAAGGATTTGAAAACTCCAGCAGTAGGCCCATGATCAGTTATCCAGCCAGCGCCCTGCTGCTTGATATGGTATTTCGTGCCGCCGGTTTGAGAATGACGGTGGAGGTAGAGGCCCCAGTGGAAATTGTCCTGAACTGGTGGATCATGCCTTATAAATAAAATGATATAAAGTCCGTTAACCTTGAGGTCGGATAGAGACATTTCGAGATGCGGATGCCGATAAAAATGTAGTATGGGATTTCGTTGTAAAGGCCTTGTGTGGAATCTCGTTTTGCGGTTTTTGAGGACTTGGATGGGAGGCCACGCTCACTTTATATGTTGGGGCTTCCCAGCCCACCGTCACTAACACTCGCTGGCGGGTAAGAATCATATCCAGGGTTGCGCGCTGCTTCCAAATCACTCGGCAGGTCAGCACGTAGTCTAGGCAAGATAATTGGATGGCACGCACCGCTGTCCTTGACGCGCGAAGATGAAACTCAGCGAACGAATACTTTTGGCAATCTGAATCTAACCAACCAGAAAGATTCCAAGGACTCCGGATAACAGGCGCCAAAATTCACTTCCATCTTTTTATAGCTTATACTCCGTACTGTAGAAGAGGTTTGTGGCAGCACTCTTAGGCTCCGACCAGGACATGGTGGGAACGAGGTATCCAGGGATTGGAAGGATGGGCGGTAAAATTAGTTCATCGACTGGGACAATATGATCGAATGGAGATTGAAATTGGTGCATCATGCGCACGGTTCGTAGGCTGAGGTTATCCCGAAGGGGAGGGATGGAGGGTGCGAGGAGAACTCCAAAGGGAATGTAACTCTGGCAGACAAGTGGCTAAGAGCTCACAGGCAAGGTGCATCACTGAAAAATCCTTGCTTGCTTGCAATTTCCCCTTGCAGTGCTCTCGGCCAGGCCGAAAATTCAGTGCCGCGCCGCAAAATATGGCCATGAATTCAAAACATCACATGTGTCAAGATGACATCGGAGCAACCAATAAGGCAGCTTCCCCATGCCCAGTGCTGCTCAGCTTTCTCACGGTCGCCTCGCCGCCGTCAGATCGCTGACTCGATCCCCCAATAACTGCAATGGAAAGAAAGGATCATGGTCCAACCACCCACATTGCAAGCGGCTATTGACCCCGGCAGAGCCGCATGCAATGGAAGAAGCTCCAATCCCGCCGGTTCTCATGTCTGGGATTAAAATAGACTGGCCAAGACGAGGGGGAGTTTTCGCTGGCGCCAGTCAACCGGCATCACACTTTCGGATGGAACTTTGGGCGCTAAGGTCGTCCATTGGACGGTGATGTGATAGTTCGTGCATAACAGGTCTGAGGTAATAATTGAACGAGGGCAGCGAGAAGCGCCGAAGCTCTGCCCAGAATGTAGGCCCACGGGGACAGCACAAGGCAGCTTAGCGACTCGAATCTCCCATTTTTCAATGCAGACCAAGCCCCCTTGCATGGAGGGGTATCAGAGGTCCAAGCAGCTGTTGATAGATCAGCAATTCAGGGCGCTTAAGCTTTCAAAGAGAAGATAAATCAAAAAAAGCTGTTATGCGAGTTTTCCGAAAGAGCAGAGGCCAATGGTACATCTGCGTGTCCGTGCGGCTGCTGTACCCTGTGCAAGGGGGCAGGCTATGGCCAATATGATTGGTCCGGATATGAAAAGGCAAGGCTGGAAAACCTACAAGTTGATCATCGACATACCTCGCTGCTTTTGTCAAACCATACCGGAAAAATGAGCTTTTCGGGCAACCGTCGGAAACCGTTTATCCAACACAACCTGTTGAACCACAGGTCGCAAGCTTGAAACTGTAGATCAACCATATATTTACAATACACATACAGAGTATAAAGGGTCTGAAATGTATAGAATTTGGAATACTTATATGATGCACCAATTGAGGATTTTGAACCTGATTTGAAAGCTTTTCAATTACTAGAAACTAACTAAGTATTACACAACCACCCACACAACCTGAATTGTAATGAATTTTTTTTTTTTTTTGAAAATTTCAGAAGTCTTCTCACCAGTTGAAGTCTCTGGTTTGAGGACAGAGTATAAGACCAGTGCAGAAGAATCATCAGAGTGAGTTCATTTGAGCTGTCTGATTATACTTTTGAGCAAATTGACTTCACTGTCTTCAGTTGGAGACAGATCTGATACAGATATATTTGACTGCAACTGAATAAAGAGAGAAGACATAATTAGAATAGAGGAGGAGAAGAAAGAAGCAGATACAGCAGAGAGCAAAGCAGCAGTAAATCAGTTTATCTTAACTACTGATTTACAAATGATTTCTTCTATCTTTTGCTTTTTCTGTTATCAAATATTAAAGTCAGTTTAATTCATCTTAATATTACATCAAGTATACTGACTGCAGAAGATAAATAATTAAACTTTAAGTTCTGGTAAATGTTGGCCAAAGTTCTTTCAATATTCTATATATATAACTATATTAGTATAAGTTGAATGTATGATCTTCAATCAGTTCAATCTATCTTGATAGAGTGGAATGTATGCTTTGCAAGCTCTTTTTATTTGACTTGAATGAACACAAGCTTTTCTAATACTGTTAAAGTAACAGCATTAACTTCAGTATTGAAGAGAGAAGAAGAAGAAAATTTGTCAGTTTAAACTGATAAAGATATTATTTTAACAAGTAATTTACTAAGACTAGTAGTCTGTTATTAGATGAACTGGTTGTAGATTACATAAGTTTTCCCAGGATTTGAGGTATGAAAGAGCTAAGTAGATTCAATACCTACAACTGATAGAAGAGAGTCATGTGCAGAATGTAGAGATTTTCTAACTAGAAAACTAAACACTAAGACTCCTACAATTTATACAAATTATGTGATTCTTATACATTTAGAGTTAGAGTTATATAAGTGCCTCTGAACATTTAATATTATTTAATACTTTATTAGTCTAGATCTACATTTATAATACTATCTCTCTCTTCAGAGATCTCAGACTCTGGAGTCTGAAGTATAGAGCTACTAAAGTAATTTTTTATACATCATCATTATAGCTTTTCTATTATTAGTAAAGCATTATAGATTATTGAATATGCAAGCTTCTGCATTTCTACTACTTATCTATATAGATATTTCACATGCATATATCACTACTAGTTGCAGTAGATATTTTTTACTATAGAACAGTAGTTGTTTTATTACAAAAGTTCAGTATTTTGTTACATATTTCTTTATTTGTTTACTTGTTTAATTATTATATTATTTGGTGTCTGTTGCTAGGTTATCTATTAACAAGTTGTGAAACTAGCAACTATAGTGTATTGCAGTGTAAGTATAAATAAAAAGTTTCTTGCTTTTATTATTTTTTCCTTTTTTTTTTATATCTTGATGCAAATATTATTATTCTCTTTATCTTTGTTATGAATGTAGACCTAGATTAACTAAGCATCAGATGATATCAGATGTTCAGAGATATTCATGTAACTCCAACTCTGAACATATAAGAATCACATAATTTGTATAAAGTATGAGAACTCCAGTGTTCAGTCTTCTAGTTAGAGAATCCCTACATTCTATATACAACTCTCTCTTATCAGTTGCAGGTATTATATCTACTTAGCTTTTTTGTATCTCTAATTCTGAGAAAACCTATGTAATCTACAATCAGTTCTTCTAACATTCTGAATACTCTGATATACAATTACCTAAGTCAGTATAATGCTACTAAGACTTACAAGACAAACTACAATAATATCTCACATTGCAGATCTGACAGAGATAGACACCAATATAAAGAAGATAAACATTGATAAAGATGCTGGTAGCAGTAGAGCTACTATTAGCAAGACACCAGCAGATAATACAGACAACAGAGATACATCTCTTAATACATTAAATAAAAACTGAAGAGAGAAGATCTTTGAAGAAAAGAAGACACATCTGCAAAAGAATCTAGCAGATATATATGAATAAAATAAGATATACAGGCTGCAGAAGCAAATAAAATACAAACAGAGAATAGCAAACAATAATTTTTCTTTAGAGTTCCTCTTACACACACAATTAATAGAGAAGTCAGATAATTTTAACAATGTGGAGTCTTCAAAAACATCTTACTACTATAGCAAATCACTTGGCAAGTACAAATTGTGATTAGCTTTAATAAGACAGCAGTTTCACCTGAGAAAATCATTACAAAAGACACCAGATACAGTTAGAATTAATTGAATATCCAGCTATTTTTATGATAAATCTCAGATGCATTAACAGATGTTGAGAATAGAAAGAGAACAACTACCCACATCATAAAATAAATTTAAGATATGGTGTAAAAATAATATTGAACTCAAGATAACTTATAGTTAAGATATAATATAGCATTATTATGATACTGTTCAACAAGAGAATTAATCTATATTCTTGTTTTTTATATACATTGCCAAACTCAAACAGAATCTGAACAGTCTATCAGATGAATTCTTTTACATACTCTTTCTACAGACAAAGCTCAGACTAATTATCCAGACTGAACTGAATAAACTATAACACTAATCAAAAATAGTTGCAGAATTACAAGAACAAGTGACATTTATTATTATTTATTATTATTATTATTATTCATTATAGTCTTATGCAGTCAGTGACTATGAAGACTACCTAACAGCTTCTCTGTTAAGATTTACTTAGTATACATTGTAGAAACTGAATAAAGGAAAAAAATTCAAAGTATTTCAAGGCAATATGAGATGTTCTTTCTCCACAAAAGTCAAATAACAGATAGAGCATAATATTAATTTTAAAGGAAAATAATAATTCTTGTAGCAATGTGATACAAATCAAAAAGAAATAAAATTAGCATATTTGGGAAAGCCACTGTCTAGTAGCTATTCCAGTACATTTCAGAAATAAAACTAGCCATTTTAAGCCTAATTCAGTTTCAAAAATAAAATTTAAAGATAGTTGAGAAATATCAAGTTCTTGTTGAATTTTTCTTCTTTCAGTATAATAAGCTGAGCAGTCTAATAGTAGATGCTTTAGATTTTCAACACAATTACAGAAATAGCATAAATTAGAAGAGTAGTGAGATAAGATTTAAAATATCTATAACCAAGCTTTAATTGGCAAATAGTGAACCATATCTTCTTAGATATAGAAAGAGTAGATGCTTTCCATCTGGGTTTTATTTTGAATTGAAAGTAGTGATTTGTAGAACTTTCTCTATTAAAAA